AAACCTGCGGGGAACTCAGCAAAAAACGCATCTTCGCACGGGCAGCCCGTGCGCTGGCCATTTATTTTTATAAGCCTGGAAGTAAGCCGATTGTAGAATCCAAGTTGATCTAGGGTGCCAAAGTAAGGAAGGTGTATAAACAGCGGAAAAATAGTAGGAAAAAACAATTGTGTTAAGACGTTTTGGTCCATTAAGTCATATACGTCTTAGCTCAACACCACGACTGGACCTCGTCAGTATGACGATCGTGGTAATTTTCTGATTTTTTTACAAGTAATTTTCTGATTTTTGATTTTTACAAACCCCCTTAGTACGGTCTCCCACGGTTACCAATTAGCATAGCCCTTCATTTGGTAGATTTCTCTCTTTATCCAAGTATATTCTCTTAATTTATCGTTGCGCATTTCTGCGCCACAGGTGCAATCACAAACTTTTCCACAGTTGCTCTTATTGATGCTTGTTCAACCTACGGCTGCTTTTTTTACGGGGAAATTTGTCCGCGTTTGTAGAATAAGTCAAAATCTTCATTTTGGTCTAGGAGTGGCCACATTTGAAATGAGACGACATTCATTCCTTTCTTTTCTTGAATTGATCTCCGATTACACTTTCCCGTTTGTACGTTTCTCGTATTTTTCATCTTATGTAAAATCGTTTATGAATTTGACAGTACGAATTGTGCCAATCGTGTCCGCATATTTTTTTTTTTTTTTTTTGCAATTCGCTAGAAAACAAGAAATTAGCTCAGAGGAATTGCCTTAGTCAGTGCCTTGACCTTAGAACTTGATACCGCGTTCCCGTCATTGACGCACTGTTGATCTCCTCCAGTGACTAAGCCGACAATTACGCCACGGAGTTCCTCATCCACAATACTACATATAATCGAGTTAGCGGATCAGACCAGCGCCTTAATTAATATCACGTTAATGAATAGCCAGTTGTAATCCTTGCATTACCAAATGAATTTTTTTGAAGGGCAGTGCCACTGCTGCTTCTGCTACTGCTGCTTCCTCGGAAAGCCAATCAGTGCCATCGCGAACAGATGAAAAGCCAGTGGAAGAAGAAAAGAACGAAGACTTTGATTTGTTTGGATCATCGGATGAAGAGGATGCAGAAAAGGAACGAGAAAGGCAAGAAAGGCTGAAGGAATATGCGCAGAAAAAAGCCAAAAAACCACAAGCCGCTGCAAAATCATCCATAATCCTGGATGTCAAGGTAAATATTGCCTAGAAATTTTAGCATTTTCTGTTTTAGAATTTTAAATTTTAGAAATTTTAGCCTTCGCATAAAAATACATTTTCTGGTTTGCAATCTGATAGTGATTCGTGTTCGTTTCTGTACCTTCGTTTTTTTTTTTCGAAGAGAAATTCGAATTTTTATCGCATTTTGCTCGCAATGCTGCCGAAGAGCATGGCGTAAAGTAGCACCGTTGTCATGCAGTAGCTTGAGGCTTCAACTTTGTCAGTGGAATAATAGCTTTCTCTTTAAAAATCTTTTATTCCAGGTGCAGTTAGTAATTTTTAAGCTTCTACACTTAAGCAATTCAAAATTCACTAAGCACCGAGATCCAACATCCTAGGTAAATTAGTACTGGCCAGGGGAGTCAAAATCGCCATCAGCTTGCTTCTAAGCGACCTTTGGAAGAGGAAACCGCAGAAAGTGTTTTTTGTGGGTGGTTGCTTTTAACATTTTGTTACTCCACGCATTATTTCTCGATTGCCTTTGTCTCTCACAGAGAGCTAATACGAAAAGAATTATAACTTTTTGACCGCTCGCAATCTGCATTATTTTTATTCGATTCTGCATGATTTCTTCGATTCACGTCTGTTTCACAGCTGCCATAATTTATAGGGGGAGCTGTGCTGCAAAATCATCTTGATTTTATAGAGAACCGGCTGTAGATGCCCGAAGCTGCATTAGGAAAAGACTTAATTGAATATGAATTATGAATATTATTTATTGATATTATCGTTATTAATTTGATATTATCGTTATTAACTGATATTGTTATTATCGTTGATATCGTTGGTGGAAATTGATTGATATGAATTGATATCATTGATGTTATCGATGAATTTATGATAATGAATATTGTGAATATTGAAATTTTGCCTTACTGACGTGTTAATTTTTGAAATTTTTAGCTCTACTGCTTTGAGCTGCTGGTGCGGCTTTCACCTTTAGAATTTTTTAGCCCTGGGATGATACAACAGACATGAAAGAAATGGAGAAACAAGTGAGGTCAATCGAAAAAGATGGTCTTGTATGGGGTGGTGGTAAGACTTAAATTTTTTTTTTTTTGATGCATTTATCATCTGTAGTTTCTTCGCCGCATTTTTTTTTTTTCTTACCATTGCTGCAGCTGGCAACTTCTCCATTCTTCGCTGCTTTGAGCCTCTGCTTTTCACAATTTTATGTGGGCAGACGTTCAAGCGAATTTTTCAATCGCGTTAGTAATTTTTGTTATGTTTTTCATTACTGCGTAGGTACCATTCAGTAATCCAATCTGTCTGTGGTACCTTTACTCATTTGTGCCAAATGACTAGCCTACCTTTTTCTGTTGCGTATATGGCCTTGATAATATCGCTTACATCAGACTTGGACGGCAGTATTTCATCGGATTTTTCGTTGCCTGCCTTGCATCGTCATTATATCTTGTTTAGTGTACCATTTTTTCTTGATTTTTCTCCAAGTCAAGCCATTCCACATTGTTTTTTTCTTCTTTTTTTTCTTTTTTGAGAAACCTTAGTTCCCAGAGTCCATATTTCAAATTTTTACGCATGTTGGAATATTTAAAGTTATTTTTTGGCCAGATTTTTTTAGTTTTTTTAATTTTCAGTAAGTTATTTTTAGTTGATTAGTTGGTTGATTAAGTATGGTTAAAATTTTTACTTTTTAATTTTTTGTTTTTTTTGATTTTTTTTTATTTTTTTTTTATTTTTATTTTTTCAATTTTTATTTTTTTTAAATTTGTGAATTAAGGTTTAATTCAAATTAAAATTTAATTTTGAAAATTAAAATTTTTAAAATACTATAGTATTCAAGAGCAAAAATCTTTATTGAATTGAATGTCCTGTTTTTCAATTAAAGTTTTTACTTTTTGTGCATGTTTGTCTTGGTGCTGTGTGTTGTGTTTTTAATAATTGAATGAGCTAGATTTAACTTGGTTTTCTTTAGAACTGGTAATATGGTGTTTAAATTTCACGAAATAATCTTCTTTCTGTTTTTTCGTGGAGCAATCTCTTAGAACATCTCTTAAATCTCTTTTTCTTTTTTTTCACTCTTCGTCTCCTTTTTACTTCTGTTTGGAATTCAGTTTTGAGAATGCCGTAAGTCCTACAAGAGTTGCAAGAAATTTCATGAATTTCTGTGAAAATACTCGGTATTTTTAGTATTACTACTCAAGAATTTTTCAGCAAAATTGATACCGCTTGCATATGGCATTAAAGTGTTGCAAATAATCTGTGTGGTAGAAGATGAGAAAGTTTCAGTGGATGACCTCATCGATCAAATAACTGAAGAAGTTGCCGATCACGTTCGTTTTCATTCATGCTATTCCGAGATATACTTATGAACTACGAAAATATTTAGTACGAATGCCCCTAGAGCCGGGGTTCATGTGGGGATGAAAATTAGATCCTCCGTATAGGAATTGAAAGGAGCCTCTGGTATACGAAATATCGTGCGATTCCGGGTGTGAAGTGATTTTTGCCAGT